GGTTTCATGATTTATGAATGGACCACGCGTGTTGTATGTGTGTGGAGGTGGTTCACAAAAGGACTTTGAGTATTATGAAGAGATAGCACGCAATGTAAGCGCCTCCAAATGACGCTATCCTTCTCCGCTAGCTTAGACTTCTCATATAAGATACAGTGTATAGTGAGGGAGAAAAAGTATTTGATCCCCTGCTGATTTTGTACCTTTGCCCACTGACAAAGAAATGATCAGTCTATATATTTAATGATAGGTTTATTTGAACAGTGAGAGACAGAATAACAACAAAAAAATCCAGAAAAACGCATGTCAAAAATGTTATAAATTGATTTGCATTTTAATGAGAGAAATAAGTATTTGACCCCTCTGCAAAACCTGACTTAGTACTTGGTGGTAAAACCCTTGTTGGCAATCACAGAGGTCAGACGTTTCTTGTAGTTGGCCACCAGGTTTGCACACATCTCAGGAGGGATTTGTCCCACTCCTCTTTGCAGATCTTCTCCAAGTCATTAAGGTTTCTAGGCTGACGTTTGGCAACTCGAACCTTCAGCTCCCTCCACAGATTTTCTATGGGATTAAGGTCTGCAGACTGGCTAGGCCACTCCAGGACCGTAATGTGCTTCTTCTTGAGCCACTCCTTTGTTGCCTTGGCCGTGTCTTTTGGGTCATTGTCATGCTGGAATACCCATCCACGACCCATTTTCAATGCCCTGGCTTGGGGAAGGAGGTTCTCACCCAAGATTTGACGGTACATGGCCACGTCCATCGTTCCTTTGATGCGGTGAAGTTGTCCTGTCCCCTTAGCAGAAAAACACCCCCAAAGCATAATGTTTCCACCTCCATGTTTGACGGTGGGGATGGTGTTCTTGGGGTCATAAGCAGCATTCCTCCTCCAAACATGGCGAGTTGAGTTGATGCCAAAGAGCTCCATTTTGGTCTCATCTGACCACAACACTTTCACCCAGTTGTCTTCTGAATCATTCAGATGTTCAATGGCAAACTTCAGACGGGCATGTATATGTGCTTTCTTGAGCAGGGGGACCTTGCGGGCGCTACAGGATTTCAGTCCTTCACGGCGTAGTGTGTTACCAATTGTTTTCTTGGTGACTATGGTCCTAGCTGCCTTGAGAACATTGACAAGATCCTCCCGTGTAGTTCTGGGCTGATTCCTCACCGTTCTCATGATCATTGCAACTCCACGAGGTGAGATCTTGCATGGAGCCCCAGGCTGAAGGAGATTGACAGTTCTTTTGTGTTTCTTCCATTTGCGAATAATCGCACCAACTGTTGTCACCTCCTCACCAAGCTGCTTGGCAATGGTCTTGTAGCCCATTCCAGCCTTGTGTAGGTCTACAATCTTGTCCCTGACATCCTTGGAGAGCTCTTTGGTCTTGGCCATGGTGGAGAGTTTTGAATCTGATTGATTGATTGCTTCTGTGGACAGGTGTCTTTTATACAGGTAACAAGCTGAGATTAGGAGCACTCCCTTTAATAGTGTGCTCCTAACCTCAGCTCGTTACCTGTATAAAAGACACCTGGGAGCCAGAAATCTTTCTGATTGAGAGGGGGTCAAATACTTATTTCCCTCATTAAAATGCAAATCAATGTATAACATTTTTACATGCGTTTTTCTGGATTTTCTTGTTATTCTGTCTCTCACTGTTCAAATAAATCTACCATTAAAATTATAGACTGATCATTTCTTTGTCAGTGGGCAAAAGTACAAAATTAGCAGGGGATCAAATACTTTTTCCCTCCCTGTATATCCCGTGTGTGTAGACGTAATTGGGATGGAACGGTGGCGCAGTGGTTAGCGCATTACGCTACGAATGCGGCGACATGAGTTCGATTCCAGGCCAGGCCTACCATGAGTGATGGTAAGTGATATCTGAACCAGTGCCCGCAACCCGCTCTAACCCCCTTTACCACCCCGCAATGAACAGCATGGTGAAGTTTGGTTTAAAATCCCTCCACGACCTACACGGCGTAGGGGAGGCCTTCATCCATTCATGCTATGTATGGGGAACTCGACACGCTTGCAAACGAGAGATTCCATCTCGCAGGATTATCCAGGTTAAATCTGTTTATAGATATAAAAGTAAATAGATTAACGCGGATTGACAAAGAGCTGGATGTAGACGTTAGAAGTGTTTATATAAGTAATACATCATGGAACCATTTTGCCAGTATCAAAGTGTGAAAAATAAGAATAGGTTTTACCCTTTCTGGCAATAAAAGGGGTGTTGAAATGTTCAAACACCAAATATATAGCCATAATAGAGGTGTGTGGGTTAGATCGCGATCTAACACACAAACCTCTATTATGGATGATATTGGTCGCGAAAGCCTCCGTGTTAAACGAAAGCTTTCGTAAGGAATCAAGTCTGCATTAGCCACACGTACTTGTGGTGAACATGCAAATAAACATTGCTCTGATAATGTATGTCTTTGAAACTGGCGTAGGCCAATCGGTTTCAAAGACAATGCAATCATTATAATCAGAGCATGTTTTATTTGCATGTTCACCACAACTACGTGTGGCTAATGAATACTTGACGACCTGGTGTTTCAACACCTGAACATCTGTTTTATTGCCATGAAGGGTAAACCCTATTCCTATTTTTCATAATAAGTAAGACAGTTGTACAACAACTTGAGTCTTGCTTGGTTTCAAAGTGCTAGTCGTGATTATATTTGTACATCATAATTGCAGGGTATGCGTTGGGTACAACTGCTGTAAAAGAAATACGTGTAGATTGTAGTAGTTGTAGCATGACGATAAGCCACTTCGTTGAGCTATCATTTGTGGCCAGGTCGCTTCTGAAAGAGAAGCTAATAGCTCAGTGGGCCTTAACTGGTAAAATAAAATAGTTTAGTTTGTGCTTTCCTTACCTTTCCTATCCTTTGAAATCCTATCGTATTTTGTATAGTTTGTTGTTATAACTTTCTGACCCGGCCCTACAGGACATCGGTGAAAAAGAGCTGTGTAGCTCATCGGATTCCTCCAGTATATATAAAAATAAATATTCTGATTCTGGATTTTGATCTGGTGGGGTCATACCGCTGGACTGCCTCAAGGGGGTGTGATGCAGTTTTGAAACCATTTTCAGTGACCGGTGCTGCTGGCAACAATGGAACAGTCACACGTACAAAAAAAAACAAATCTATCATTTGTCCAGTGTCTGCACGTGTCGGCACGCGTCATTTCTCATGCAATTCAAGGTCATCTGCAGGTGGTGTGATGTTTTTTCTCTTGCAGACACCCACCTGGCAGGTGGACAAACAGCCTTTGGCAAGGCTGATGAGTAAAAGTCAACGTGGTCTGGAAATCGATTATGCAATATGCTTGCAGCGTTTCAGATAGTCATCGGGCTACAACTGAAGCCGTCCACTGGCTCATCCATACTCGCTCGACATCAGCATATAAATATTGTTGATCAACTTCCAACTATACGGAATAAGAAATGTGTGTGTGTTCACGCGCGCGTGTATGGGGGCCGTCCATAAATGACGTCACGCGATTTTGGACGATTTTTGACCTCCCCCCCCCCTTCGTCACACGGCGTCACAAAAAGGCAGACCCCCCTCAAATATGACGTCACAAAGCTCTGCCCCCCCCCCCCAAATATATACTACATGCTTCAAATCTCTTTAAACTATTGTCATTGTGTGGCGCTGCACTCTGATGTTGTAGGAGAAAACATTTATTAAAAAGTATATTTAATTAGTATAACGTGTTGTCTATTTATCTAATGTTGCGCATTTTTTCGTGACGTCACATTTCTCAACCCCCCCCCCCCCCGTTACACATCGTCACAAATGTCTGACCCCCCCCCCCAGGTGCGTGACGTCATTTATGGACGGCCCCATGGGGAGCGGTAGTGTAGCGGTTAGCGCGCTGCGCTACGAACCTGGTGACCCGAGTTCGATTTCCGCTCACGGCCAACACCAGTTACGATTATCTGAACCGGTCCTGGCCTCTCCTGGTGCGGTGTGTACATATCGCCACGAGGGAGACAAAGGCGACCGGGGGTGGTGCTGGCCACCCACCCCATCGTGTGCCATGCCAGCCTTCATTAGTGCTATTCGCTAACAACACTTGCCCCAACACTCTGTTAAATGCTATACGGGGTATCTTTGTCTCTGTGCATGGGCACACGCGTACAATCCCTGTAGTCGACAGCATAGTCACACGCATTGCGTGGATCATATTGAATACCCCATCCGCACGCATGCCAATTATCCCTCTCCGCAGCTCACAATCATACATGCTGTTAATCTTTTCCTTTAATGCGTCCAACAGTTCATTAAAATTCTCTTTGGAGGGTTCATAATGTCTCAAAACCCCCAATAGTTCTGACTTCATCTTTAAAAGATCCATGGGACATCTCTACGATGATACACTCACTTAAAACAGTCTCCCTTCGCAAGAAAGTGCTCATTGTTGGCGTAAAGTCAGTGGTTTAAATTTCACATTGCAACGGCATGGCCCTGACCACTATCAGTCTATTTATATATTAAAACGTTCCACAATGCGGTACACATTTTAATGACCTTGTGTGGAGAAGGGGGAGACGACAGATGATGGGCTGACTTAATCTCGCTGTACAACAAGACTGAGTTTATCTTCCGCTCCGTGGACTTCAACGCACATCTTCGGTGACGCGAGTCCCATTCTTCTCTCCGTATCTCCCTCTCGTCAATCGCATACGTTGCTTCGGGGCGTCGCGGTGGCGAGATGTTAACTACCTCGCCCGGTACACAGGAGGTCGTGGGCTCCATCCCGACCCTGACGCCTTCTGTATATTTGAAGGTTGCATGTTCTCTCCGCGGTCGCGTGGATTTTTCTCCGGGTCCTCCGTTTTCCTCCTCCACGTTTAGAAACATGCATTTAGGGTATATGGCTGCTATAAATTTCCACATAAGTCACTCCGTTGAGATATCATTTGTGGCCAAGTCGCTTCGAGAGAAAACAAAGAGAAACACAGCTCAGTGGGCCCCTTACCTGGTAAAATATAATAAAAAAGTTTTAGTTTTCAATCAGAATCTCTCCGATTCCGCGCCGTCCTCGGCCCTCCTCTGCACGGCGTCGTCGGGAAAGATGATGAAGACAACGGACGAGGAGCTGAAGGTGACCCGCTTCCTGGGCCTGTCGCCACCGACGCTTTGTGCAGAGGCGGCGGCGGCGCTGCTGTTGCCCATGTGGTGGCCGAGAGGAAAGCCCCACCGCGCGTTGTGTTCGGCGAGCGAGGAGGTGCGGCGCCGCGGCTTGCGCTTGGGCAGCACCAGGGCCTGGAGACACCTGCGGAACTGTCGGGAAGGAGTGGAGATATGGGGGGGAGGGGGGGTAAGGTTCGACGTGAGTGGTGCAGTCAATTTGAGCCGTCATTACATTTTTTGTTAACCAGGTAAAAGGGCCCACTGAGCTATACAACTCTTTTTTTATATAAAAGCAATCTGGCCACAAATGATAGACCAACGAAGTGGCTGATCACGTGGAAATGTACAGCAGCCAAATACTCTCAACGCGTGTTTAGAAATGTGGAGGGGAAAAATTCCACACGACCATGGGCAGAAAGATCATTAAAACTCCAAATATACAACAGGCGTCAGGGTCGGGATCAAACCTACGACCTCCTGCATACCAGGCGAGGTATTTAACATCTCGCCACCGATATGTTAAATGTCAGGGGATGCTGCCATGGTGGCATGATTTGGTACATTGGACCTGCAATCCATAGATCCTCGATTTTGTCCGCCCTCTGGATGCGGCAGTTGAAAAATGGGCACGTTTCTAAAATTCCCACTCCCTCCGTCCGCTGTATGAATGGGATTCACCCCAGCTTCGTCGACCGCGACAGGTCACGACGCGCAGGGGCAACACGTGGGCACTCCCGTCTCTCGCAAGACATGTGTGAAGGCCAAAGTGCAACCCAGAGGAACTCTGCAGAGTTCCCACGAGAGATGCCCCTTACCATCCATTAATCAATCACCGTCAATCGATTCATCGATCCATCCACAGTGGTTGATCGATTGATTAATGTGCTCCCTACCATCATAGGTATGTTGACTATACATTTGTCAAGGATGTGTAGTTGAAAAGGCTTGGGTAGCGACGTGGCAAGGAGATGGCAGTACATCAGCGGATGTTTTAATAATTTTGTGAAGACCTTTGAGTGTTACCCCCCCCCCCCCCTCTTATGCATAAGTGGATTTTCTCCAGTGACTAAAATTTCAGACCACAAGTCAAACACTGGTTAATTCATTATTCATTGTTTCCCCCGAGTTAATTGGTTGGGGCATAATGTCCATATTTAACTATAACCCTCCACCCGACAAAGCCAATCAAATAAAGTTGTAGCGCGGGCAAATATGCCAATTGCTCTGGGGTTTTCAGCAAAACCTGAATGTCGAAAAACAAGCAAAATTTTGAGCATTTTTACAATAATTGTTTTTTGCTGGAGACTCCATCCAGCATCATCAGCTGTTTAACAGCAACAACTCAGCTCGTAATATTGGTCGTGAAAGCCTACGACGAAATGTACTGGTTAATGTAATTGGGCAGACATGCACTGCAGGAGTCATCTGAAAATGAGCTTTGAGAATCAATAAGGCTTTCCTGGGTAAGTAAATGAGGACCACCAAAGGATATGGGCACTGCCCCATGCTCACTCGAGCAAGGGCACACTTCGATGTGTTTCAAAAACCCTTCTAGTCAGGCTCGAGTTTATTTGATAAAACACATTTCTTTCCCAGAGCCTTTTGCACCACAGTTGGAAAATCCACGTTTCTATTGTGAGGACAAGTTCATCCAAATGTTAAAAGGGTTTAATAAATTAATAACGCTTCTTGGCTACGAGATGGCCATGAGCAGGTAGTAGGTTGCTGCAAGTCGGTTATTGAATGTATCTGTGTAGAGCTTTGGGAGTTATTTCGTCATGCACGGCGAGTTTGCTCCACGTTATCCAGTTTTCTACCACAGGAAAAACACTAAATAATATAATTGGCCAATAAAGGACCCCCGTAAAAAAGTGTTGAGACGCATCGATGCATTCCTAAAGAAACAGGCCTATAGGACATGTACACATGTGTTTTTATGTGTACATAAACACTGCTGCTCATCTGTGAAAAAGAGCTTCATAGCTCATCGTATTCCTCCAGTCTCAATAATTATTCTAATAAGATTTTGCGACTGCTCTCACGTGCACTTTGAGTGATCAAGGTCACCGTGATCTCTGAATGAAGCCACAACTTAATGTATATATATATATACCCATGTTTTGTTAATCCACTGCTGGATGATCAGAACATACTTCACGCTGGTGAATTCGGCTCACTCAATGCGGGGAGCATAGACGTGCAAAAAAGTAAAGTACAACGATGAATGCTTGCTGCACTGCCCTCTGCTGACCGCTACGTAGCACAGACAACCTGGCATGTACGGTATCGTGATCACCAATCCGAGGTCTATCCAGGCTCACCCCCTGCTTGGCGTCTGAGTTCTCTGCTACACAAACGTTCCTGCGATGCTACATTTTGGCAGGCAGCAGTAGGCAGTGCGCAAAATCCCTTGTTGTACCGTACTTCTGTGCTCCCACGCCAATGCTCCCCCGGGTATCACCAAACCTGCATTGACCGCCATGGTGAAGCATGGATCGGGTCACAGCGGCGTGGGAAGGAGGAAGCCCCCATCCAGGAGTGTATTTAATCAGAATGTTTATTTATACTAGAGGAATCTGATGAGCCATACATGTATTTTTCACAGGACGCTGTCCATGTTCCGGGTCGTCCAGATGTCTTGCGACCCGCAATGAATTTAGCCTCATTGAAAAAAAACACTATGAAGTTGTACATAGCACAATAATATATGCCGAGTGTGTGGTGATAGTACCGCAACGTGGATCAATACATCGGCATCATGGTAGAAAGCTTAATAAATATATTGGAGCGTTAAGCCGCTTATCATTTGGAAGACGGCTAATATTCGGGTGATGAGATCCAATTGCCTTCCCTCACCTCTCTCTCTCTCCAGAAGCGTGTAATTGACTCGTCAGAGCGATTGCGAAACATTAAACAATTATTGTTCAATGATTGGTCGCTGAGCATTGACGTGTCAATCAAACGTGACGACGTTGAAATGCGAGCGCACGCCGCAGCCCGTCAGACCGGGTGTTTAACCGCAACGCCGAGAGAACGAACAACTTTCCATCGATTGTGAGCTGGGGTCTCCCGATCTCGACGGTACTTTGTTCCTCCGTTACTAATTGGCACACACTGCACGCGTCTGATGATTGATAAACAATGTGGGACACAAAAGACAAATATTTCCCATCTAGCCCTCGCCGACTGTCGGTTCAAGTGCTGTTAGCAGGCACTTATAAAGTGCAACTAAACACGGCACACGAGTGGGAGGGTGTCGACGGCCATCACCATGTGACTGACGGCCAGCACCATGCGACTGACGGGCAGCACCATGTGACTGACGGGCAGCACCATGTGACTGATGGCCAGCACCATGTGACTGACGGCCAGCACCATGTGACTGATGGCCAGCACCATGTGACTGACGGCCAGCACCATGTGACTGACGGCCAGCACCATGTGACTGACGGCCAGCACCATGTGACTGACGGCCAGCACCATGTGACGGCCAGCACCATGTGACTGACGGGCAGCACCATGTGACTGACGGCCAGCACCATGTGACTGACGGCCAGCACCATGCGACTGACGGCCAGCACCATGTCACTGACGGCCAGCACCATGTGACTGACGGCCAGCACCATGTGACGGCCAGCACCATGTGACTCCCCATTTACAGGCCCCATCAAGTGCTCATTTGAGGCGGCGTCTACCAAACGGAGACCCATGAACCGGTCCAGATATTCGTCACCGATGTTGACCGTGAGCGGGTAACGAACTCAGGTGGCCAGGTTCGTGGCGCGGCGCCGCTAACACACGCGACGCAATTGTTCCCCACAGGTGGGGCACACGGCTGTACACACACACACAGATCTTTGTATTCATTTCAATTTGCTCTCTGTACATAACGCGTGGATCACACGCGATATATCGATTCTCATGTCACTCGGCGCAACCGTCACCTGCGACACACACAAGTTACGCGCGTGTTCACACACGCGGCCATATGAATTAGAATTGGTGCACGACGCATCATTGGTCGTGCACACGCCATCGCTGTCTTAAATTGAACCGGAGCTCCGTTGAGTCGCTTGGGACGCGTGTGTACCAATCGTCCGCCACGTGTGTACCAATCGTCCGCCACGTGCAGCGTTGCAACGACTTCAATTGTGTTAGAGCCGAGACATTGGGGCATGCTCGGGATGGCTCTGCGTATGCCGTGGTGGCCCGCCGAGGTCTGGGAAACCCCCCTAGCGTTTATAAATCCAGCGCGTTCGCAAAGAGAGCTTTCAACAGCAAAACATTCTGCTTTATACACAGCCGGGATTGAGGATACTCGCTGGTCCCGTTTTCACGACGGGAAGCTTCGCACCTCCTTACCGAGGAACGCGTCGAGGATTTGGGGGTCGTGGACTGTTGATTACGTACGATCAGCACGGTTGACTACGTAGCGTGCTAAAGACGCTCAACGCACATGACGGGAGCCTGCCGTGCGTATCGAGATGCCATCGCCATTCTCGCGCTTATTCTGCGCGCAGCTTTGGGACGCGTGATGGCTCACTGCAGGGCGCACCCGCTTATTGAGGAACACGTAGAGGATGGGGTTGTAGGCGATGCTGGACTTTGCGAAGAACGATGGGATGACGCTGGTGGCCGGGTTGATGAGGTCACCGTTACCCGCCGCCGTGAGTAGGGCCAGCACCGCGTACGGCATCCAGCACAGCAGGAAGGTGGCGACCACGAGCAGCGCCAGGCGGGCCGCGCGGGACTCACCGCGCAGCGTCTGCGCCATGCGGCCGGCCGTGTGGACCTGCGCCACGTGCAGGTAGCGGAACTAGAGGGGTGGCATGGACAGCCGGGTGGGTACACGGGGGACGGGGGCGATACGACCAAGGGAATGTTAACCACCTGTGTGGGAGGTGTTCCACCGTGGTGCTGTGCTGTGGTGGTGCAGGGGTTAGCGCTACGCTGCGCTACGAATCCGCTCACGGTCAACACCGGTGACGATTATCTAACGCGGTTCTGGGACTCCCCTAGGTCGACTTGGCCTCAAATTAGTACCTGATGCGGTGTCTAAACATCGCCACTGGGGAGATAAAGGCGGCCGGGCGTGGTGCTTGTCACCCAACCCCCTCGTGTGCCGTGCCGGCCTTCATAGGTGCACACTAACAGCACTTGCCCCAACAGTCTGTTCAGGCTATACGGGGGATCTTTGTCTTTGCTGTCCTGTGTTGTAGCTCACCCCCGACGCGTGTCGGCACAAACCATGGCAGCAGATGCGGCCACGTGATGCACAATTGGGATCGTTAAAATAAAAATTGTCGGGAGTGCGGTGACTATGGTCACTTGGAACAGAACCATGGAATGTATAACGACTCGACGACAGATGCACATGTATACACAATTATCTGGCTTAACAATCTCAATATAAAATTGTTGTTCTACATCAGTGGTGCTTAACCTTGACTGCAACCTTGCACCCATTTGGCTCTCAATCATTAAAGCATTTATCGTGTTAAGAAATACACAGGGTTTGATTCAACAAAGTAGTTGAACTTACGTGACCGTGCTTAATTTGTGTTTCGATGATTTACCTTAAAAAAAATCTGGCCATGTATCTCACCCCCGAGAAGGATCATCTCATCGGCCATATATGGATGGTGTTTATGAAATGCCCAAGATTAACAAACCTGCTTGGCTGCAAGCTGGCTAAGAGTTGGCAGCACAGCAAGTGGATTAGAGGTTTCTTACAACATCTGTCTGATGCATTGCGAAATATTGCCAGCAAACATTGAATACTTTATATGGTAGACTTGCAGACCGTGTCCCTTCGTGTTGAAGTGCGTGCATTAGCCACAATGTGTACAGGTGCGTATCCATAGATCTCTAAAAGCCAAATTGGCTCACGGTAAGATGTTATAACACTATCTGATAATGGAGTTCAATTGTAATTTGCAGAAATGTGGTGATCCACAACCTATGACAACACCTCAGAAGCGAAGCCGCTTTAAGGCTGGTTAATGATGAGACGGGTGACCACCAGACACGCATAGATTTCAAATGATCATAGCTCGACAATCGATTATCAAGTATGTATGACTAAATAGACTTGAAGAATCACCGAATGAAGCAGTTTCTGCAGCTAAAGAGGCAATTCAACAATTGCCTTGCACCTTCTGCCGCTCTCTTTGAGAGCTCTTGGCTATCGCAAGCCTAAAGGCAGAATACACGCAAGAATCATGACGTTATCTTGACATGCAAAGCAGGTGTGGTGGCAATTGTCGTCCTGATATGTAAAGCAGGTGTGGTGACAATTATGATGTCATCTCGACACAAAGCAGGTGATGATAATTATGATGTCATCCTGATTTGTAAAGCAGGTGTGGTGACAATTATGATGTCATCTCGACACACAAAGCAGAGCGACAGCTTAACACCACGAGCTTTGTGTCATTTCATATTTTTGCTCACGAGTACAGATGGCCATTCACTGGAGCGAGACGGGGCCACTCGCTCGGCTTGTGGACGGATGCGCTGGGATGATTTAATCGGTGACAAGAAGCCGGCCGTCATCAAAGTGTCTAGCTCGCGTTTCCTGCGCTTGACGATTGAAATGGGAAAGATGAAAAAGGAATCCCACCCCCCGCCGCCCTCCTGCCGTCATTGTGGTTGACCTTACATGATAAATGTATCGCATGTACGAGAGGGCTGTGGTAGATAACCCTTGTCACTAAACTGCGGCTCCTCGCCTACTGAATAGTTCCTGGATTTTGAGCCTTTCGCCAAACAGGCTTCAAGTGTTTCAAGTAAATAGGCAAAACGTTTGTCAACGCAAACAAAACATGATTCCTACTTCATCAGCCGATTGCCCTTCTGGACAAAATGTTTCTGGGTCAAAATACAAGAAAACCATAGGAAAAGCTATTTCACGAAACATTACATATTATACATTCCTTTGTAAGGCAGTGTTATTGACAAATGTGAAATTGAGACCCAGAGGGTTGTGACCAGTCCAGATGTTGCATGCTTACATACATTCCGTTATGAATTATTAGTGCAATAAACATTGTTACGTGGAGAGATTGACTTTTGTCCGTCTACTTATTACCCACAATGCTCTACAATGCAAGACGGCTTTAGGAAGTGTTTTCAGGTAGCTCCCATGAAACATTCTTATTAACCTAACGTCTGGAACGCTCTTCCTTCTGATATTAGGAAGCCACTGGAGCTGTGCACTTTTAAATCATGATTGAAAACTAATTTCTTTAGAATAGTTGTTGTGTGTTTAGTTGTCATTCCCTCTGCACCTCCTATTAGCACGAGTTGGCCACGTACGGTGCGAAAGAAGTGAAAATACATTTGTGCGTTTCCTTCCAGTGCAGTGTATGCACGTGCTGATCATTGCACACCTCAGACATTAGATTTAACAATATTTTTTTGCTCAAATTAGTGACATCTTCGAGAGAAAAAAAAGCTCAAACAATGAATAAGACTAACAGTTACAGTATTAATATATTACAATCAAGATCAATAATTGCATCATTAAGTCCGATTTATTTAATGTATTCCCCACACCCCAATAAATTTTTGTTTAAAAATGCCCAGTTTCGATATTTTAAAATCAATTTTCTTATGGATATGTTGTGTCAATGACAGTGAATGAAGTCAAGAAGATTTATTTTTTACATGCCAGCAGAATAATTGGATCCTTGTAATCGGACCCAGTTGGGCTTCTGAGATCTGGTGGGACCGGCCACATTCGGGGGCTACCTCACTCCGCTTCTGGACTCTTTGTGCATTTTTACCCGTGGCTTAAAAGACGAAACTCAAACAGCTCCTTGCAGCTTCGCAACTCTAGGCTGTATTTAAAGCTGTCTGGCGCAACGTTATTCTAATAAAACTTAGAAAACCCGTTACAGTTGAGGCTCCCTAAATTGACTGTGGCTTGACAGCTTATTTTGTCAGTTTAACACGAAGGCTTTCGAGACCAATATTATCCGACACGGGCGACTAGTAAGGGTTGTCACGTAAACAGAGCATGCCAATTCGTGACTAGTACAGCACAGCGGTATGTTGGACTAGTGACGAATTGGCACATTCTGTTTACGTGACAACCCTTACTAGTTGGCTGTGTCGGGTGGTGGCGGGTTTAACGACACTTTGTATATTTATGCGATCTAAACCCAAAACACTTCTGTGGATCTTATTTTGTACCCCTTCTCTTGTTTAAAGCCACTTGCACGAGCGAGCGAGTCCGCGTCTTGTATCGCCAGGAAAACGCCCACGAATTGACGCTCCCTTTATAGGCTGGGCTCGTCGGCTTGTTATTGACACGGGGGAGGCAGCAGTTGGGGGTGCGTGCGTGCGTGCGTGTGTGGGGGGGTCTCCTCTTCCTATAAGCCACGCGCTGTGCGCTGTCCGCACCCCCCGCACGCGCAGACGAAACGCAGCCAGCGATGAGACACCACCGTGCCTGGGTGATGGCGAGTGCTATGCGCCCGAAGCAGAAGCCCATGACGAGCAGCGGCGCGGCCAGGCAGCCCAGGAAGAAGAACAGCACGAAGGCGGCGTCGGGAGGGTTGCTCGAGGCCCAGTCGATGGAGCAGCCGAGGCCGTGCTTCTCCAGCACGTAGCGGCTCCATCCCAGCAGGGGAGCTCCCGTCCACGCGGCCGAGTAGAGCCACGTGTACGTCACCGCTCTCCACGCCCAGCTGAAGTCCAGCACCTGCGCCTTGATGAGTCGCGCGTAGCGCTCGTACGACAGCGCCGTGAGCGTGGAGATGGACACGATGCCTGTGAGCACGAAGGGTCGTTCCGTTAACCACCCCCGTTAACCACCCCCGTTACCGCCCCTACAGAACTTCTATGTGGCCTTCAGCCAAAGCGACTAAATTGTCTGGATCTCGAAAAGCCGTTCAGGATGTTGTGTGCCTGGTTTTGTGCATTTGTGGGTGATGCACAGCGGAGGCTTCTCGGGCGCTGTTGAAATGGGGGCTGCTGCGAGGTGACGAAGAGATGGCAGAGCTGGTTGACCGTCCCTCCGCCTCACGCCCTTTGACCGCGTGATGGTTTTCTCTGGGTCCTCTCGTTACCTCCCACATGCCACTTAGGCATGCAACTGGCCAACAGTTAAGTGAGGATTTCTCGGGTAAATATTGGGCAACTCGCCTTTTGCCCGTCCAAGGACGGGTGTATTGCAGTAAATCTGAAACTTGAAAGCGATAAGCAGACCACGACGTGATATTCAGTGCATTAATGCGTGTGCAGTTTGTAAGGGCGCGGTGACACAGACCTATTTCATTTACAGGTTATAATCCCTTGTTCATCACCACGTCCTTTTTACTTCTATGTCTCAACAGCGTTACGGAGATCACGTGACGTGTTGGTTCTGCCTTTGTAGTGAGGGTTGTCAGTTGACGCAGAGGAGGGGGAGGAGGCGCCTCGCCCCCCCCATGTGGAGGGACGTCACCCGCTAATTATTATTAATTGGAGGTGTCCAATTGGAGGACGTCACCTTATAATGATTATTAATGTGGGGGGCTGTTGGATGTGGAGTGATGTCACCTGTTCATGATTATTAATGAGGGGGGTTGGTCGACGTGGAGTGACGTCACGCGCGGGACACACAGACATTTGGCTCATGTTGTAACTAACTGGCGTTTTGCTGACTGGTGGGGCTGGTGGAGCAGCTGTCCATTGTCACCTACTTGTACATGCATGTGAATAATAATACATAGTGGTGGTAGTTGTGATGCTGGTTTTAGTGAATTCGTGGATAGTGTTATGATGGCAGCATTAGAGAATGGTGTGTTTTAATTGCGTATGCTTTTTAGTACAAATATCAATGCCAATTGCGAGTATTTACCATGAAATGTCTCACCGAGTTTAAAGACCATATTTGGGGAGACTCCCGTATTGAGATGTTTGGCCAATTCCATTTAAAAAGTTGTTTCATATGGGAGGAACTGGAATACCCAGTGGGCTCGCCATATACATCAGTCGTAACATTCCAAGTTGTGCACAGAAGGATTAAAGTATCTATTGATGGCCTGCCATTCCTGGCTCCCTCTTGGTCCAAGCCTACTCTTGTATTATTCCAAGGCAGTCTGCAATCCAAGTGCGTACTGTACCAGGCTTGGCCGGATTAGCATCTGACAAGTTCGGACACTTGCATGGGGATGTGGTCACGTGTTGGTGTGATTGATGATGTATCGGAGGTGGCCGGCTGACCGTGTATCAAGAGGACTGAGCCACCACCGCTAAAACTTGCGTTCATATACAGTGTCCGTTTCATCGACCCATGATTAAACTGGATTCGAAAGTGTAGGAGGATATTAGCCAAGTCAATAGTACATTTTAAAAAAATGCATTAAATACGTTTTTATTATAAATTTCAGCTCCGATGCTGAAAATAAACGACCAGAATGATGGTCAAGTGACTAATGTTTCCCTGCAGCAGGCTGTGCCGGATAGTGCACCCCTAGCGTGGGATTAAAATGCCGCTTGGGTTTAAGACACGGCTTGGGTTTTAGACACACGGCTTGGGGTTTAGACACGCGGCTGGGTTTTAAACACACGGCTTGGGGTTTAGACACACGGCTTGGGGTTTAGACACACGGCTTGGGTTTTAGACACACGGCTTGGGTTTTAGACACACGGCTTGGGTTTTAGACACACGGCTTGGGATTTAGACACACGGCTTGGGGTTTAGACACACGGCTTGGGTTTTAGACACACGGCTTGGGGTTTAGACACACGGCTTGGGTTTTAGACACACGGCTTGGGTTTTAGACACACGGCTTGGGTTTTAGACACACGGCTTGGGATTTAGACACACGGCTTGGGGTTTAGACACACGGCTTGGGGTTTAGACACACGGCTTGGGATTTAGACACACGGCTTGGGGTTTAGACACACGGCTTGGGTTTTAGACACACGGCTTGGGTTTTAGACACACGGCTTGGGTTTTAGACACACGGCTTGGGGTTTAGACACACGGCTTGGGGTTTAGACACACGGCTTGGGGTTTAGACACACGGCTTGGGGTTTAGACACACGGCTTATGCGGCGTCTCCTCCATTGCGCCGTGAAAATCCTGCTTCGATTTTTCGTCTAATCGTGACTAAAACTTTTTGACAACAGTATGGGGTCAGACGCTCCGTAACAACATACTAATCGCGTGACCTGCAAACTGGCCAATACAGCAAAAGTTTCCTTGAAATCGTCAATGCAAGCGGTTTGAGCTCTCCTCTCGTTTGTTTGTGTGGTAGGTTTTATTCAGGTTTTCCAGTTTCATCCCACACGAAGACAAACGCCCACTTATGAAATTCGCCAAAACATCTATTTGTGGCATAATCCTCCTGATAAAACGTCCACGAGACTCTGTGAGGCTTTCATGGATAAACGAATGACGTCACCCTCGTGTTTAATGCGTCAAAGGAGTTAACTTTACGAGAGATAGAAAGCTGTTACGGAGCTCCGCCTGGTCGTAACTTTAAATGAGTTTGTTTTCTCACAAGCGTAGCCAGGTGTGTTTATGATGCTGCATGTGATGCGGTGGTTTGGTTTGGCCAGAAGCCATATCACTTGTCCGGCCGAATTTTGTATCGGTAGCAACAACCTTCATCACACTGAATGTCACCCACTCACTTCTAGGATGAGTGGCTCTATAATAATAATGTACTTACATTATGCAATCGCTATCTGCTTATTTGTTTTCTCCCATATTCTTTGATAGGTTCAAAGAAAATAACAAAAACATTTTTCTGTTTATTTTCTTTGAACCTATCTACGTGACTTTACCGAAAGACCCAATAAATATGAATTCCTGCAGTCACGGAAGCTTTAAGTCAAGATTGTTTTCTCCCACCAACTTGTGCTTATTCAGTACTAGTTCGTGACAATGTACCAGTTGTTTTTTTAACCCGAGTACTGTATCTTGATAGCTTTCCAATATGTTTTCGGGTTGTTCGGTGTGATGTCCGACGTTTCACTCCACTTGAGGTACAATCCAAAAAAGCCCATCGGAGGGCCATATCCATACACACAGCACAGCTCAATGGCAAACCAAACTACGTATGCGGTTGTATAGCAACTCTAAAAGTTGTGACGTCACTTTGTTTGGCGTTCGCTGCCAGCGAATTGCAACTCAAAGCATTGGCAGTCGCATGTCAGACCGGCGGAGTTGACTAAACTATTTTGTTTCCGACTTGGTAGGAAACAATTGTATCCGAGTGCACTGTAAGTACAGTCTAAATCATGGCAATTGCACTTTCTCACGCCTGTAAGTTACATTTAACTTACCTCGCAAACAACGCATTTTATAAAAGACAAATTTATTTCAGTTTCTGCTGTGTCGGCCATAGGGGTTCATCTGGCCCATACTTCACCACTCTGGCCAGTGCAGGACTGGTGAAGGAGCGGGGTGGGGGAGTAAGTTATGCGTGACCTGGAATCGAACTCAGGTGGCTGGGTTCGCCACGGCGCTCCTCCGCATTTCCTCTCCCACCCCGCTCATTTCTAAACGACGTTAAAGTCCAGAAGAGTACACTTAAATTCACACGATTTTACTATCGCTTAGGAAGCCGCCGCTGTCGTGAGCTACCCACCAAACTGGCGCAGGGCAACACTTGCCACGGACAATAGCCCCGAGCGATCGAGCGAGCGAGCGAGCGAGCGGTCGAACCCATCCACGTAGCCTTCGGTCACTCACCGAAGAGGCTGTTGCTGAATCCGTCCCACACGCAGCCCCCATTGCCCCACACCCACCGCCTGCGCACGCACGACACCAGCGTGAGCGTGTTGCCGAAGACGGACACCAGGAGGTCGCTCAGGCTGATGTTCACCAGCAGGAGGTTGGTGGGCGTCTGCAGGCGCTTGAAGCCCACGAACAGCGCCACGAGCAGGAGGTTGTTGAGGAAGCCGGCCACTCCGATGGTGCCGACGACGCCGGCCAGCAGGCGAAATGTGGCCGCGCTGAAGGCGGTGGAGCCCTCGCCGAGGTCTCCTCCGTGCAGGAGAAAATTGCTCCCGAGGGCAGACGCGTTCCCTTGCGCCGAGTCCGGCGCCGCCTTGGCCCCCGTGTCCCCCGCGTAGTGGAGCGAGTCCTGCTTGGGAGACTGCATCCCGGGTGCCTGCACGGGCGCTGACAGTGGGCGGCTGTCATTGTTCACGACGGTTTGCATGCTCGGTTTGTGATCTGTCCTGGTGCTCACCGAGTGCAGGACAGGCGGGCGGGCAGGCAGGCGGGAGTGCAGTGGGGGGGGGATGGTGAGATTGGTTTAGATGTGGGGGTGCGATTAGCAGGTGATGGGAGGGTTGGGGGTGGGTGCTGGTGGAGGAGGGTGGGGTGGGTGGTGAGGCGTGGGAGGGAGGGAGAAGGGAGAGAAGTGAGGGTCGTGGAGTGAGTGGTGTGCGCGACTGTAACGGAGCCTCGCTGCGCGCTCATCCGAGATTACTTTTCGCTCCCCCACCGCTACCGCGCCATCCGAGTGTCATTGTTCGCTCTCTCTCCCTTTCTCTCTCTCGCGCGCACGCGTGCAACTCAACGGGACGCAGGGAGAAAAATGCAAGCGCAGCCAACGTGATGATTGTGAGCAGGAGACTGGAATCACGAGCAGCAGCATAACCAGTAGCAGCAATAGGAGCAATAGACGAAATTAGCAGCAGCAGCATTCCGTGAACGATAACTCGTGTCGGCTGCGTTGTCAGGCAACAACCGAGGCAAGAACTGTCTCTCCCAAGGTCAAACGGAGACCCGGGCTCCTATCCCGATCTCAATTCTCCCCCTTTTTTACGGACTCTCGATTGTAGCGGAGCACCCCGTGTCTGCTTGTTACTTCGTGGATGTGTGTGTCTGTCTGTGTGTGTCTCTCTCATGTGTGTCTGTCTCTGTGTGTCTGTCTTTGTCTTATGGAGCGCCCCACTGGTGATGGAGCAGTTGTGGAGAGAGTGGAGAGTTTCCCATACCTGGGCAGTGTCCTTATGACCAGCTGCGGTTTGACAGCAGAGGTCTCACTCCGAATCGGTCGAGCGGCAATAACTTTTCATCGGCTGTGCAATGCTATGTGGAAGCTACCTGGTCTGTCGCTCCGCACGAAGCTTCGGGTCTTCTCGGCCACATTAATGTCCTACCTTGTCTATGCTTGTGAAACGTGGACCCCTCTAATGGAACATCTGCGCCGGTTAGAACCATTCAGCCTGGCATGCCTACGATCCATTTTGGGTTTAACCAGGGTGGATTGTGTGAGGAGCTCACAAGTCCTTGAAAGATCTGGACACATTCCCATCAGCGAGCTCCTCCGGCAGGCGAGGCAGCGTTGGCTGGGTGATGTGGCCCGCATGCCCAGCTACCGCATGCCCAGCCACCGCATGCCCAGCCACCGCATGCCCAGCCACCGCATGCCCAGCCACCGCATGCCCAGCCACCGCATGCCCAGCCACCCCATGCCCAGCCACCGCATGCCCAGCCGGCCCGCGGGCCGTATAAGGCCCGCAAAATCATTTGGTCTGGCCCTCCCAAGACAACCGCAGGCGGAACTCGAAATTCAATAAATCTCGGAGCACACCTGGAAAGGCAGTTGCGAGTAGCAACATCATCAATACCAACTAACATCACACGCCATACCAAAGATAAGTAGTTCCAGCCATCGCATTAGGAGTGAGTTAATGGAATGTTTGACCAAATATAACAGGCTAATTTTTAAGTTGATAATTTTGTATGGCCCGCGAATGATGTTATAAATATCCAAATGGCCCTTGGCAGAAAAAAGGTTCCCCACCCCTGGCATAGAGGGAGCAAAACGAGCACGACGTGGGCTGGAGAAGAGACGGAGTGATGCGGTACAGGAGGATGTGGAGCTGAGTTGATTTGCTGACGACTGGTACCAGCGGTGTCAAGATCGGCCTCTATGGAGGAGGCTCGAGAAGGACGCTGCTACTGGGCAATTGGAGGCAGTCGCCCTCCAACAACGGAGGGCAGAGAAGCGACGCTCACAACAACGAGCGGAGCGCAGTGCGGATAAAATGCAGCAAGTTGGCACAGTAGGGAGTGCAGCTGGTGCATCTACCAGTCATCTCAGGCAGCCAACCCATGGCATCTGGGTGTGTCCCGAGACCTGTCGGCGAGCCTTCGACACTTCACGTGGCCTCAGTGCACCTAGCCTGGCACAGGCGCCGTGGTGACGTCACCGTCACTGAGTGGCGAATGGCGTGGTTTTGGTATTGGTGGAGAGCGGTGGTGTAGCGGTTAGCACGCTGCGCTACGAACCCGGCGACCCGAGTTCGATTCCCACTCACGGCCAACACCAGTGACGATTATCTGACTCAGCCTCAAATGAGAGTACCTGGTGCGGTGTGTCAGGATCGTCACGAGGGAGACAAAGCCGGCCGGGCGTGGTGCTGGCCACCCACTCCCTGGTGTGCTGTGCCGGCCTTATGTGCTCGCTAGTAACAGCACTTGCCCTAAAAAGTATGTGAAGGCTACACGGGGGACCCTTTGGCTTTGTCGTTGTCTATGCACCGTTAATAAAAATGAATGTCCTCTGGTTCTGCCTGTACAGCGTCTTTTGAGACTGCGCGTTTTGAGACGCCTGTACAGGCTATAGACAGTAAATCAAGGTTATATGCATGGCGCCGAATCGCGTGTGTTGTTGTGTTCGTGTGTCCGTGCACATTGCAGAGCGGTGGCGCCAGCGCTTAGCGCACCATGCACGTTGTGAACCAAACTACTGTAGCTGGGTTCGTTTCCCGTCCACGGCTAACATCAGTGGCGAGTGATATCAGACTCCCCCCCCCCAACTCCTTCACCAACCCGCACTGATCATTGTGGTCAAGTATGGGCAAATCTCCTCCCCCCCCTACTGACCAGGCGCAGTAACTAACAATGAGCGTGTGCGCCAGTCCATCATCACCACCGTCATCACTCAGTGTCACTCGGCGGCCTCTGGTTTCAATTAACAGCGAGCCCAGATAGCGACTCGGCCCCCCCCCCCCCATTGTTGCCGCTGTTGTAGTTGCGACGGAGTGTTCGGTAAATGGTGGGGCCCACTGCACGCGCCAACAGGACCCATGCGTCACCCTTGAGCCACGTGTTTTCCCATTTTGGAGCAAATGGCAGGCGGCGGGCGATTGAGCGATTGAGCCTACGGGCGGAGTGGGAGATGCTTGATGGTGGTGATGATGGCGGTGGTGATGGTGCTGATGGTGATTGTTGTTGGGGGAGTTGGTAGTGTATGGTTGTAGGCGCACCGCGCGGCACCCAGCGACCCGAATTCGATTTCCGCTCACTGTCAACATCGGTGACGAATATCTGCACCGGTTCTGGGTTTCCCCTGGGTAGACAAAGTCTTGTGTCAGTGCCTGGTCCGGTGCGCCAACATCAGCGCTGGGGTGGCTAAGGCGACCGACCGGGCGTGGTGTTGGTGACTCACCCCCTTGTGCGCCCTGCCGGCCTTAATATTTACTCGTCTGCAACAATTTCCCCAACATTCCTTTGAAGGCGAAACGAGAAATCTTTGTTTGTGATAGTGGTGGTTGTGGTCGTAGTGGTTGTCGATTATGTGAATTGCATGGGTAGTTTTTGAGGGCACGTAAAAAAGAATTGGTTGTGCAATTGTGCATTTTATTAATAATAATGTGTCTTTTTACCTTAAAGACCCACTGAATCTCAAGACGCTCTTTTCAGGAGGGTCTTGCAACATTTGGATGTTTGGCAAATTCCGTCCACGAATAGTCCGGCTTTATGTGGGACGAAACTGTGAAAATTATCCAGAGAAACCCAGCACGCATGCCAGGGGATACCACTCCAGCTCATGGTCACCACTCAGCCCCACAAGCATCGAGCATTTCCCATATAAAGTATTTCCATATAAAGTATTTACTCACAAGGGGCAGTGGGGGAGATTTTTTTTTTACAATTCTCCAAATGCAAATAATCTCTTAAGTCACTGCATCACCCCCTTCTAAAATAATGATACTAAGTAGCTGCATTGCCAGAGGTTTAAGCTCGAGTGCCACTCTGAAATCACGTGTTACTTTCAAGATCCCGCCTCCTGGTTTTATTTATTTGCCGGTTAAACTGAAGCCACTGTGAGTTTCGAGAGAATCCTTAAATGGTGTATCGTCATAGTAAATATAGCACTGCCGATTAGCACAGTTGGCTACGTACGGTGCGAAATAAGTTCGACATACGGTACATGCATACAGATCCCGAGCAACCCGTAACTATAAGCTGATTAAAGTTACATTTCAGCTGTTGACTTGTACACCAAAAGTAACAAGCCGAGAGGAAACGATCCAGCAAAACTGAAACGCCACTTTTCCATGTCCATATCGAGTGGCAGCCTCGTGTAAGCACATTCATTAAGAAACGGTTGTCTTACTGCATTGTAGCCAATATCTGCTTGGCTGCAAGTAACGAAATGACAACCCTTGATCAATTCGCTGCTGGATCAAGATCTCTCCTCCCCGTGTTTGTCATGGAAACTGTTATAAAACAAACTTTACACTGTTTTGATTTACCTTTCAATGCTTTGTTACAACCTAACCAAGTAACTCGATTTTAATCCGTGGGAATGCGGTCCATGTTGTCCCTTCTTCTCGAGGTCATTGAGGATTATTTAACCACGTAGGTTGGTGAAGGAGGTTCCTAGGGACTGGTTCTGATATCACCCCACGCTCGCCGGGTCCACAAATCAGTGTGCCGCTGATGCTACACTCAGACACTGCACCTATCATAATGTGGTGGTGTCAAACATAACGGGAACATATTTTTTTAAAAATGCCTTTCGATCATACCAAAGTCCAATGCAACAATACAATAAATTCCATTTTTAGATTGTTTGTTGCCAAGGATACATCGCGTCAGTGCTTCAGCCGGCTGGGAGTGCATTGTCTGAGACTGCGAAGCTTTCATGTCAATAGCTAAAGGTTACGTTTAGATTTAGAGTTAGGATTACTACACTAGTTATCAATACTCTTACAATTATACACCATACGTCACTGCTATGTTAGAAGGGGGCATCGATCCGCTATTAAAACAGACATCTGTGCTTCTCGCTGTTATCGCCTGTGGATTTTTCTCCGGGTCCTCCTAGTTTTTCCCTCCACATTTAGAGACACGCGTTTAGAATATGTGGCCACTATAAATGACAAGCTACTTCGTTGAGCTATCATTTGTGGCCAGGTCGCTTCTGAAAAAAATATCTTTGTAGCTCAGTGGACTTTACCTGGCAAAATAAAAAAAAAGTTTCTTTTTTTTGTTTAGTTTATCACATATATGTGTATGTGTGCTTACAAT